ACGAGAAACGATCGTTATCGTATATCTGTCGTCATATATATTTGCTGCAAAATAATTCTTTTTTACGTTTTCTTTATGTTTGCACACAATAATAATTTCCATATGTCGCAGACAGTAGATGATAATCGTACGGTAAACTAAAGCATTCTAGTTGCCTAGATATTCGCGATCCTAATCTGTAAATCGGGATACCTACATTCACATAAAGTTTAAATGAGAGACTCGAACCGTGTATCAAGAGAATCCAAACTCGACGAACTGAAACTCCAATGTCCATCTCACCGTTATCGCGGCAAAGCAAATATTTCGGAAGAGAGGAGATGGCCTATGCAAGGTAGATCGATAAGAACCAAGGCAAGCCAAGCTGACTAGGTCGAACTCGAACGTGTTTTGGCGGCCGTCCTGATTCGCATTCTCTGCACATACGCGGCCCATGTAAAATTTTCAGCGTTCCCGCTTCTTTCGACATGGAACAGCAAGAAACTACACGGCTACGAACCGTAAACATCCGATTGTAGGAACAAACATTATGCCAAACATCTAATATTTAATGTTTATTCAATATTCAATATGTTCAATTCACGCAAAGGTGCATTCTAGAACAACGTAATTATACGAGAATCGTATATCGTATCGAACGTTAGAAATTTGATCATTAATGTATCATTTGCGAGAGATATTATTCAATAATGTATTATAAAGTTAGCGTGCCATGAATAATCCACTTTCTAATGTTCTTACATAAAAACACAATTGACATGAAATATGCAATTTATACTCAAAAACATTTATCATGTTGACAAAAAAACTGTAGACAAAAAAAACTTTTAAAAGTTTCAAAAAATGTTTCATTCTTTGCAGCATTGATTTCTTTCATAATATTAGAATTGAATACTGACTGCAAAAATACAAACTATAATTCATGCAAAAGATACAATTTTAAAAAGATCATGGCATTTTAAAACAAAAATTTTTGAAAATCTTTATAAATACATATAAAAATTATTTTATTTATTAATTTATAGTTAATAAAGTACAGTTTAATAAATAGAACTCCAAAAATTAAAATACTATTTAGTTTAATAATAAATTAAGAAATCGAAAAATTCTTTTAAAAAAATTCTCTAGTTGTTATTGAATCTCTTCGTGAAAAACAAATTGCTAGTATGCTAGTATATTAAATTTCTAGAAGAGAACCATAAGAGAAAAGAGAGCGGGATTGCGAGACAAACTTAGGTTCCGCAAGACTGAACTGTTGCTTTTTCGCGGCGAAATATTATAAAAATATCCGATATAACTTAGCCATGCATCTCGCAGGCTTGCATAAATAAAAGGCGATGATCCAATCCAAAAGGTATAATCACGAGTCACAACTCGATATCATTGCCATTGATCGCAAGCTGCAATATCTTCTTTCTCTCTTGTTCTGATACCATATACGCTGCACTGCGTCAATCTTTGTAAGTGCATGCCTCGCATCAGTTCGTATCATTCGTTACTTCGCTGGTTTGACATTGCTCATTAAACTCATCGTCCCACTAATATTGCTCGACAGAGAAAAAAAAAGAATCATAAGTATACGAATGCCTTGTCAACATTTCGACTTTTGTGTTTCACAATAAGAAAGTACTACAAGCAACAGCTGTCTTCGCATCAAGGCATTGACAGTAATTATTGATCGTTCGAAACTTTCGAGGATGAAGATTTAAGGAGAGAAGCTTCAGTCGATCAAAAATTACATCAGCATCACGAAGTAGTCGATCTGATAATCGAGTAAGAGATTTACGAGGGGGAGTCAATTTAATCCCGGGAATACGACGGGCTTTTACAATCATTTAAAAAAAAAAACAGAATCGTCGACCGATACTCTTCTGACAACGAACAAGGACGACTGGCTGTGCGCCAAGACCACTGTCCGTTCCGAAAAAAAGAAGCGATCCGTTCAGGCTACGATGGTCTTCATCTTCCTCGTTTTACGAACCGTGCATTGTCGACTTCCAGAGACAAGTCGGTCTACGAGATACTCACTCGAGGACTCTCTGCACAAATTATGTTTTCGAGCGTTTCAAGTACCGCGAAACCTGCCCGCCGAAAAATAAATCTTACCATTCGCCAAAATGGATTTCATTATGTGTATATTGTAAGCCTCCCTCCCTCGATTTGTAACCAAAATGATGTGATTTGGCAGATAAAATACAAACAACAACAACTTTACAAGGAGCTGAGCAATCGCTCATCACTCTGTTCCCCACCGCGATTTATCGACCTTCTGTCTTATACATCGACAAACGAGTTTCACGTTCCTCAAGGACGTATTACGTGAAAACTTCGATCGCGTATTACTCCTTATATTAATGAACTAGAAAGCCAGTTCGTGATAAGATTCATAAATACCATTCGCAGACGTGATTTTCTTTCGTTGAAATTAACGCCCATAAGTAATCAGAAAAAATTTTTAAGAAACAAATAAGAAAGATTGCTCTATTCGAAACGAAAGCGAATTTTAGAAAAGTTTCACATTTCTTTCTTTATAAAATATCTCTATATATATAAATTGCTAATTTTATATAAGCTTCTTTATATATCAAAATTTTTTCCACTAAACTCAAAATATATTAATAATAAATTCCATAATAATTAAATTATTTCACTTAATCTTTAATAATCATGAAACCTTTTAAAATTAATTTTTTTTATATATATTTTGCAAATTCTAATTCAGAGATTCAAAAGGAAATAACATAAATTTATTTAAAAAAACAACTAGATGTTACTCTAAGAATTGAATGATAATATCTACAAAACCTAAAGTTCCAAATACGAGGAACGATTTTAAAATCGCGGAAAAGTTCACGCAATTAATCCTAGCCGGAGATTCAACTTAAATAATTGCAAAATTTCGCGTGATGATATTTCAAATTTGAAGGGACACAAACATAAAATATTGCAAACATAAAAATGCATAAAAATGCAAATTCCTATTTAATTTAATTATTAAATAGATATTTAAACACTATACGATCGGAGATTCCATCGTTGCGAAAGTCAGCTCAAGGACCACCATGGAATATATCACAAGGAGCTCTTTACGCAACGATCCATTTATCCTGTCTTTCATTCTCTACCCTTTTTCGAAATCAAAATCCAAGGTCCACGCGATGCTATCCGAAATGATTGAAAATATATGGTGTGCAAAAAGAATCATGATCGTGTGACGCCAATAAAATCTTGCAATCAAATTGCGAATGTCCCGTCGATTCCCGCGCGAAAATTATAAAAATAAATATTCGCAAAACAAAACATAATTATATTTAGCTATATATACGAAATCATTCGACTCGTTCTATTTTCATTACTATTTTCGTTTAAAAAAATATATTCGTGTAATGTATTTATGGAAATATAATTTATATTCATGTAATTGTATAATATATTTACGAAAATCGTATAAAAACAAAAGATACAAATCGATAGTAGAAAAGTAACAAAATAATCAAATGGATTAAAGATCAAATATCTTCGTTTTAGTTTCAAAAAATAAGAGAGATTCGAATAATATGATAATAGATTGGTGAATGAATTACGCCACATTATTTTGAAATATCAAGTGTGTGTGGATAAAAGCTCTTATAAGATCAAAGAATATTAAATTTATCAACGGCATTAAATATGTAAATGTATTTATAAATATATGTGTAAGTGTAAGTATTTTAGATTATGACGATAAAAATACATTTGTTAAAATAAGACACAAATCCATTACTATTTATATTTTCGAATCTTCGATATTAGTTCTAGTTTAGATGATAATTTGATCTCACAGATATATACATATTTTACAAAATAACCAATAAATCTGTTTCTCTTCAACGAGATGCCAAACTGACATTATTAAAGCAATCGATATAGTGACCATTTTCTAAAATATATATTAAAAAATTTTCGTGAGAAAATGTTTTTCAAAACATCGTGGTCCACCTGTGCCAGCAATTCTTACAGTGGTACCTCGATACTCCGAATTTGAAATACAGAAAATCTATGAACAAATATAGATCTCACAAATCGAAAGCCTTTTATTTATGAGCCCAGATTTTGATGACTTTAAAATCGAAAAATATTATAAAAAATATTATAACGTAAAATAAAAACATTCAATAAAATTAACATAATTCCATATTATTGATTCTATATATTCGCGTGAATTTATGATATAATATATAATATATTAAATTTATTTATTTCAATCTTAATGAATTTTTTTCCAATTACAATCCTCTGTTTTAATTTTCAGAACAACTTTTCTTCGTTTACTAAGAGCAAAATTGTAATTAAAGTTGCTACGTGAATTTCTCTAATAACTTGTACATATGTTTTTACACTCAAAAGAAATAAAAAGGTACATACACGCACACAAATGAAAATCTCTATAAAAAATATTCTCTACACATACATCGTTAAGATCAAAAGGGAAAAATAAATGTCATCAAAATCTGGGGATGCATACAAACATCTCGTAAAAAAATAAAGCGAGAGAGACACATGATATGAAGCGTCGCGATTTCTCACTAGATGTTCGCAATTGTCGAACACCCACAAACGGCAAGCACCGTTGTTTGTTGATGAGTCTAGCAAGATCGCATATCTACGCATTTCAGTTTGCACGTAGAAGATACTTTTCCCGTAGGTCGCGTCGCCCACTCAGAAGAATGTGCAATAAATAGAAGCGCAGTGCTAATTGAGATTGAAAACACGACGATAAAAAATAAAGTTACTCTCTCAAAGGTGGCGTATCTCATGACGACAATGTTTGCTTTTTTATTATCGAGCATTTTTTTACACGACCCTCGATAATCATCCGAATATAGCAATATGATGAATAATATAATGAATGTTGTTTTCTTTCTCTTTCTCGAGAAAGGCAATCAGATAACGCACGACCGGTGGATCAGAAATGATCACGCCATGTGGCGAATAAAGACAAGAGATTGTTAGATACTCACGATGTTGCGTGGGATAATTGTTGTTGTTGTTGTTGGACAGGAGCCGTTGGTAATCCATGTTGTGCCAGACGGCGATACTCCGCGGCAAAAACGTCGCCTCGTTGCGATTTTCGTTTCACGCACAAGAATTCGCTCACCACACAGTTCTCACACGGTTAACACCCCCCACGTTCGGTATACATCAACGACGAAGTTCGCGGAATGAGAATGTTCTTCACCGTGCCAAGTGCGACGTGATATTACAAATTTTTGTCATCCGCGTCGTTTCACGAAGGGCGCCAGTACGTTTACGGGCATTCTCACGTTCACGTGTTTCACGTTTTATTGACAAGAATCAAAGGCTGAGATCTTGGCTTTCGAGGAATTTTCAGATCGAACTGCGCAGATGTCCGATGCCGAATGGATTTGAAATCTAAATCGTGAGATTGAAGAAACGAAATAAGACACGGCATTCCAAGATTTTTCTTATATTTGAGATAGATTAGATAATAGCGTTGATTCACTGTATCGCAGAAGTCATAGATTAGATAATATTATTTTAAAAAGATTTTACGTTCTAACAGTTTAAATCTAAATCCAGGGGAGTCGAAGCAATAAGAGTCGAGAGTAGGATAGATCTTTCAGAGATGAAAAAAATTTGCAAGTCGCAAACGATACCTACTGTCGCAAATAACGCGAGACTTAATTCTTTTATCAATTAAACTGTCCAATAATTGTGTGCGATACACGCTTTCGAGTAACAGCGAAAGAAGGTAACGAGAAACCAAAGTGGGAGAAACCGAAAATGTTCATTTTGTAATTATATTCGGAAAATAATTTTACAAGGAAATGATTTGTAAACAATAAGAATCTTATTAGACCTTACCTATGAGAATACAGCCAATAAAAAATAGGAATTAAAAAGGTCAAAGCTGGATTTTTGATCCTTAAATAATTCAATGTAAATTATACATATTTATATGTACTATATGTGTACCATATTTGTCATTTAATCATTTTGGAATGATTTATATTACAAAACTGACAACAAAAAACTAACTTTACTAATCGAAAGATTACGTTTGAAGTAAGTGTTCTAAATGAGTAGGTGATCGAATCTTGAAATTCCCTATGGATTCTGTATCCGACTTAAATCGGAATATAATGATCATTTTAGCTTAGACATCAAAAAATTTCAAAAACAATGCATATAAAAAAAATGTTTCAAATAAAAGTTATAAGGTTTGAGAAAAGACATCAGATGAACTGCTTGTATTAAGATTCAGATTTTTTCTTATTGAGTGAGTCAAAAGCTAAATAACTTATCTGATAATCTTCTACAAATTCTACAATTTTTACTTAAATTATTTTTTTTAATGTGTTGTTTTCAAGACATTTTAATATCTAAATTAAAATTATGGCTAACATATTCCAGTCCAAGAACACAGAATCTATAGGATCCTAAGATTTGATCACCAGAATAATTATTCAAAAAAGACTTTCGACTGATAATGTTAATTTCTTGATATCACTTTTGCAACATAGATTAAGAAGCAATCAAAACTATTAAATTGTCAAGGAGGTTGAAAGACGCTCGAAATGACGAATTCGCTTCAATCGAAATAAAATACAAGGCCACCCGTACTGTCGTGTTTGGATATCTCCCTACTTTTTTTTCTCGAGAAGTCTCGTACACTCTTGTGTTCCGAGAACGAGGGTTCGTTCCAATCGCTTGAATAAGCGTACGGTTTTTGCCAGCTTCGTCAACTTGATTCGAACGAGTCGCGTTTCATGACGACGCCTTCGATCTTCGTGAGATTGCGAATTATTAATCCTATGCCGACAATATTGAACTTTTCTTTTTAAGGCACAGTCAATTTTTTGATTATGAGTTCTGTTACATAAATTTAAATCTGTAAAAAATAAATAAAATATAATCCAACTTTTAAGATAATAAAAAGAAAATCTTTCATTTCAAATATGTGATTTTTTTTCGAATTAGAATAAAAAAGAATTTTTCTATTATTATTTATAAATTACTTTCCGCGCGATTTTTATAAAAATTAGTACTAAAGCTCAGATTGCGAACGAAGATGAAAATTTCACTGTGCTGATGTAGAGCTAATTAATAATTTATAGATTTAACACGAAAATCAAATAAAAACACACGAAGAATATTTTCCATTTAGTGACACAAATCAACACAAATGTTCTATCTTTCTTAACATTCTGTGAATAACAGACAGAATAATATCTACGTTGATTTGTGTTCCACCAAAAGCATTCAAAGTATCAAGTTAACTGTTATGTTGTTTAAGGAAAATAATTAAAATTACATTTATTCATGTACCTGGTTAAATACATTGCAAAAGATTTTCTATAAACAATATAGTTAAATACATTGCCAAGGATTTTCCATAAACAATACAAATTATTCATGTTACTTGAAATGCTCAAAAATTTTTGTACTTAACGAGATAAATATATATTCCGATAAAAGATACAAAGCGAAGAATCTGCATTGTTCGATATTAAAAGAGCAAAAGAGCAATCTAATTCCTAAAATTAAATAACATATTTATCTTTCTTGTGTGTCAAAATGTAAATCAATCCATTTCTGTAATTAATTTCGAAGTAAATAACGTCCATATTAACGAATGCACTTAGTAAATAATTAATTAAAATAAATTGTTTAACTTTATTAATGATTGTTTAACTTTAATAATGACATAAGTAGGAGTAAATTTATAGAAATTATTAAAAATAATTCAAATTGAGTATAATTTGACATTATAAATTTAAAATATGAAAGCAAAACAAAAAATGCAAGCAATGCGAACAGGAACTGTATTCTCGAAAAATATAGCACATGAAAACATACGAAAAAATATTACTATATATGTTATATTTATTATATACCACACAGATTTCTCTAATATTTCGTATGAAATTTTTTTCGAAAATAATCTTTTATTTGTTTTTTATGTGCTTTTACGCTTAAGAAATTTAAAAAAATTGAGAAAAAATTGTGAATCTAAAATTCGCATGGTTCGCTTTGGATGAAAAAAGATCTTGTTAACATATAATCGAATATGAATGCTATAGCTTTTTTAGATCATATCATCATTATAAGATTACTAGCCGTACTATTTAAAAAATATATATACTCTTTTTAAAATCGTAAAACTTCTGGTTATTAATTAAACTTTTAGGTATATAAAATTTATATTAATTGCTGTTAGCAAAAATTATGTTCTAGAAATTTTATTTTGTTAAATACGTATATTTAACGTAAATTAAAATTATCCTCTCTGCTTCCGTCCCCAGATCATCGTTTTTTTATAAATTTGTACTATTTTAATATTATCAAAAATCTCTTTTTAATTAACATTCCAATGTCTAATAAGCAAATTTTTATGGAAATTACAAATTTAGTTTTATACAAAGGCAATATTAGCTTAAGCAGACAAACAAAGTCACAAAAACATCAAAATGACATCAAAATGAGTTTTTTACGAAACAGATATAATCTTACCGCTCTTTAAGAGCGTTATTATTTCCATCATTATTTCAGGTACGAATTCGGAAAAATGCTACGTCGCACGAAACATACGCGGAGATATCATGCGGATGAGAACGCACGCGTACGAATTAAAGTTAGCACGAAATCATCGACTCCCACGTCATGACACGCAGCACATAAAGGAGGTAATTAGGGCGCATTCTTGCACGTGTGAGCGTGTATCTAAAAACCACACGCATGATTGACAAGGCATTCCCGGAAATCGGTCATTCATTGCGACCTACGAAAAGTGAAGATAACTGCGTCATACACAGGCCGCCTGCGTCGCACAATTTCTAGCGTCGAGTATAACGGCTTTAACGGAATACGCGTAGTATACCTATGGTAACCATACTTTGATTCTGTTCGCGTTGCTTGCACTTTTTACGCTCAGCATCTTCGCTTTCTCTCTTTTCTATATATAACTCTAATATATTCTCTCTCGTTTTTAAGTTCAAAAGTTTTAAGGGATTTAAGCAATACAAACAAATCTCTTTATTGTATAAAGGATAGTCCTTTCAGGTAATTATCCTATAAATTAAATTTTTTCTTTTTTTAGAACAATTTTATATATACAATTTATTTATACAGTTAATTTTAATAATTATATTAATAATTATAAAGTTCTGTTCTAGGATTGCATTTCAAAATTGAAAATTAAATTCGACACACAATTTGCAATTAGTATTATGTATATAAATTTACACCCAATTATTTAAACACTAAAGATAAACTAAAATCAGCTTGATCGTTTAAGATCTTTTCCTATCCAGTTTTCTATTTTAATAATATGGAAAATTCTTTTTCAATTAACATTTCCAATGTCTAATGCATTAATGAGCAAATTTTTACGGAAATTATTAACAAATTTAGTTTTATGCAAGGGCAATATTAGCCTAAAGAACAATAAAGTCACAATAACATGAAAATAACGTCAAAATGAATCGCAATTGATTAGAAAGTTCACGAGAAAATTTCAAAAATTAATGTAGACTTCTGACAATTATAAATTATTTTCAAAATATTTACGAATAAAGTCTAAAATTTTCAAGTTTATCCCCTATTTTCTTTAAAATATCAATACTCACCACATACATAGATTAATGTGGTCAATCATGCCAAATTAGGAAGAACAGTCTCAAATTTCGTCTCAAATTAAAGACATAATTAAGAAGTATCCCATTTTAAATGTGAAAACAATAAATAAAATAGCAGGTGAAAATAATATGAAATAATACGTGAGAATAATAAATATAAAATCATACTAACTAAATTTTTTACTAAAGTATAAAGAATTTTATGAGTTTTTAATTAAAAACCTAGATATATTATTCGTAAAATAGAAGTTCAGTAGAAAAGTACAATTGAAAAAGAAATATGTGATCTCATAAGACGTAACTTGATGTAATTCTTTTGTTGTGATTTTATGATATTATACATTAAATGTTATTATTTAGAAATATAATATAATATTGTTCATGTGTTTTATTATTAACAATTATAAAAAAATGTTTATTAAAATTTAATTACGACAACATATTACATTTTTTTTAAATCCCACCTTCTTTCTTTTCTTAAGGAGTTGGTCACCTTACTCTTGGTATATCCTATCTCGTCGAGATAAAATTTGACTTTTTGCCTCCACTACGTGGAAACGAAAGAGACAACAGAGGGAAAGGTCGCGTTAAAATAAACTCCGAACTCGATCTCTAAT